AAACTGGACCTAGTACTCCAGATGTGGCCTCACCAGTACCCACAGAGAGGAAGAGTCACTTCCCCCGATCTGCTGGCAATGCTTCTACTAATGCAGCCCGGTATGCTGCTAGCCTTCTTCGCAACAAGGGCACACTGCTGGCTTATATTCAGCCTATTGTCCACTGTAACCCCCAGGTCTTTTTCGGCAGTGCTGCTGCTTAGCCAGTCATTCCCCAGCCTGTACAGGTACGTGGGATTTTTTTGTCCTTAGTTCAGGACTTTGCACTTGACCTTATTGAACTTCATGAGATTTCTTTTGGCCCAATCCTCCAATTTGTCTAGGTTTCTTCAAATCCTAACCCTACCCTCCAGCATATCTACTACTGTCTGCATCTTGGTGTCATCTGCAAACTTGCTGAGGGTACATTCCATCCCATCTTCCAGATTGTTGATGAAGATACTGAACAAAACCAGCCCCAGGACTGATTCGTGGGATACTCCACTTGATACTGGCTGCCAGCTAAACGTCAGGCCATTGAGCCTGATAAGCCAGCTGGTTTTCTCTGCACCTTACAGTCCATTCATTTAACCCATATTTCCTTATCTTGCTTGCAAGAATGTTCATAGAATCATAGAAGAATCATAGAAGTAAGGTCGGAAGGGACCTTATAGATCTTCAAGTCCAACCCCCTGCCAGGGCAGGAGAAAAAAAACTGGGCTCAAATGATCCCAGCTAGGTAGGCATCAAGCCTCCTCTTAAAGACCCCCAGGGTAGGAGCCAGCACCACTTCCCTTGGAAGTTGGTTCCAGATGCTAGCCACCCTGACTGTGAAGTAGTTTTTACAGATGTCTAATCTAAACCTACTTTCCAACAACTTGTGGCCGTTATTCCTTGTTATGCCAGGGGGTGCTAGGGGAAACAAGGTCTCTCCCAAACCCTTCTGGTCCCCCCTAGTGAGTTTATAGACTGTCACGAGGTCCCCCCTCAGCTTCTCTTGTGAAGGCTGAACAGGTTCAGGTCCCGCAGTCCCTCATTGTAGGGTCTGCCCTGTAGTCCCCGGATCATGTTGTGGGAGACCGTATCAAAAGCTTTGCTGAAGTCAAGGTATATCATGTCCACTGCTCTCTCTGCATCCACTGAGCCAGTCATCTTGTCATAGAAGGCAGTCAGTTTAGTCAGGTATGACTTGCCCTTGGTGAATCCATGCTAACTGTTCCTAATCACCTTTTTGTCTTCCAGGTGCTTAGAATAGATTCCTTGAGGACCTGCTCTGTGATTTTTCTAGGGACTGGTGAGGTTGAGCAGTCAGTAGATTCTTCTTCCCTTTCTTAAAGATGGGGCACTATATTTGCCATTTTCCAATCATCTGGCACCTCTCCTGATTGCCACGAGTTTTCAAAAATAATCTCCAGAGTCTCTGCAGTCACATCAGCCAACTCCTTCAGCACCCTCAGTTATGTTGCATCCAGCTACATGGACTTTTACATGTCCAACTTTTCTAAACAGTCCCTAACCTGTGCTTTCACCACTTCTGGCTGCTTGCCTCCTCCCCAAGCTGTGCTGCCAGGTGCTGTAGTCTGGGAGCTGTCCTTGCCTGTGAAGACTGAAATAAAAAAGTCATAGAGTACATCAGGCTTTTGCTTTTCTGCATCATCTATCACTAGGTAGATTCTCTCATTCAGTAAGGGACTCATACTTTCCCTGATTTTCCTTTGTTGCTGACATATGTGGAGAAACTCTTCTTGTTAGCCTTCGTATCCGTTGCTAGCTTCAACTCCAGTAGCACTTTGGCCTTCCTGATTTCATCCCTGCATGCCCGAGCAGTGGTCTTATATTCCTTCCTAGATATTTGTCTCTCTTCATTTGTTGTAAGCTCCCTTTTTGTATTTTAGCTCACTGAAAAGTTCTCTGCCAAGCCAAGCTGGTCTTATGCCATACTTGCACAGTGGGATGGTATGTTCCTGTGCCCTCAGTAAGGTTTCTTTAAAATACAGCCAGTTCTTCTGAACTCCTTTACCTCTCAGGCTTACTGCCCATGGGATCCTGCCCATTAGTTCCCTGAGCGAGTCAGTCTGCTTTTCTGTAGCCTAGGCTCCTTATTCTACTGCTCTCCTTCCTTCCTTTCCTCAGGTTCCTGAACTCAATCATCTCATGGTTGCTGCTACCCAAAGTTGCCATCTACTACTACAGGGGTTGTCAACTGAGGGTACGTGTACCCTTGGGTGTACTTGGGAAGGCTCTAGGGGGTATGCACAGGCAGGCAGGGATGAAGCGCCACCACCCACCACCCCGCGATGCTGCCTCGCAGAAGCAGGGCCGGAGGGGGGGGCAAGGGCAGTGGCACTCCTCTGCGGGCTGCACAGGCACCGCACAGCTGGCCAGATGCAGGGCAGGGGGGGAAGCTCACACACGGTGGCTGCCACTGCCACCCGCCACCCCGTGCAGCCACCATTCTGTGTCTAGCTGTGCATGACCCCTGCCCCTGCTCTGCGTCCAGCTGCCAGGGGTACACTTATTAAAAAAGGTTAAAAACCCCTGCACTACTACATTTCCCACCAATTTTTCCCTGTTTGTGAACTTGCTTCTGTTCCATTCTTGCTAGTGTGGCTAGTTCTGTTTTCTTCGGCATAAGTAAATGTGGTACCAAGTGTTTCCTTGCAATAAGGAGCTTTCAGTCTGCTATCGTTTTAAAATTCATCCATCCTGATTTTTGTTAAAAGTTTAACAGATGGCAAATGCCAAAGAATATGCACATTTATCTTTGAAAAATAGTCGACTGTTCCTTTCCCTGATAATGAATGGCTACTTTTGTGAACCCTCTGTTAAATAGCCTTTAGTTGTTAAGGTTCCTCTGCCTTGTCATAGATATATGCAAAATATATGGGTGAGACCATATGTGTGCGTGTGTGGTCATATATGGTATATATGAAAATGTGTGTATATGTATATATCTGTGTATACAAACACATTTCATATATGTAAGTTTTTTCATTTTATTCATGTGCATGTTTGTATGGATTATATAAAATGCAGGGGGTATATATGTGTTTGTGTGTATATAGATATATGAAATGTTCATGTGTACACACACACACACACACACACACACACATATATATGAATATGAAAAAAATTATGAGATGCCTGGGAGTAAAACATAGATATTTTTATGCAAGTTAAAAAAGCCTAAAACTCAGTGTTAGTCTCCCATTACAGTTTCCCCTTTTTGTTAACACTCCTAATATGCCAGTCAAGCAGCAAACTCCTTGGAGGCAAGTGGAATCTCACAAGGACATATACATGCTGTGAGGTGAATCCTGGTTTATAACTGCTCAGCCTACAAAAATGGTTTAACATATTAAAAGAAAGATTAATTTTCTCTTTCCCTACTTGTAGGGCGTGTCTACACATGCATTTACTGCATAGTAATGTACTGCTCAGTAAGCAGTTTTTACACTGGCGTCTATATATGCAGGCGTTACAGCACAGTAACGCTGTGTGTGGACTGACTTGGGACTAAAGTTA